AGACTTTCCCCTCAGAGCACTGAATCCTGTGACAATTTGACATCCATTTAAGTGACTGTATGATGAAATGTGAGTCTCTCTCACTAGAATATAAACTCCACAGAAACAGAGGTTGGGTCTGGTGGTCGATATATATTTGTTAAGTGCATAAAAGCACACAATTCTTATAGATATAGGGGTTGTGTGGTGTAGGAGACAAAAAACAACTTAGCAGCCAAGCAAGCCTGGGTTTACATCTTAGCTCTACCACTTACTATGTGACATTGAGAAAGTGGCCAAATTTCACCTAAGTGAGAAAGTGGCCAAATTTCATCCATAAACAAAATGCAACATCTACTTTGCAGACATATACATAATGTGCAGTGTTTAGCAGGGGCTCAATAAATGGTAGCAATTACCCTGGAAGTCCTGGAGGGTACCCAAGGTTGTTTGCAGAATAAATATTGATTCATGTAACTTGTCCTGAAAGGTGCTTTATGATTATGACATTTATTTTTGTCATTCAAAAATTATTTTGAATGTGTAGTCTCATATTTTATTTTATTTTTTAATTTCTATTTTTCAATTAGGGTTGACATTTGTGGTCTCATATTTTAAAAATCTGTTGGTTTATCCCCACTTTGCAATTGGGGAAACAGAGCCAAAGAAGTGAAGTGACTGTTCTAAGGCCACACTGCTAGTGGTAGTTAGGGATCAATCAGCTCCAGGTCATTGACCAAACTAACTAGAAAAGAAAAATCAGAACTAAGTGACATATCTATCAAATGACATCATGAAGCAGTTAAATGGAGAGTCTGTTCATTTTCTTTAGTTACAGACCTGCTTTAAGCAGAAGGAAGGTAATAGAGTGGGAAGTGCTGTGCTGTGCTGTGCTGTGGGTAGGCCTGCAGCCCCAACATGCAGGTTCTGGTCCTGTTCACCCTCAGGTCCCCCACATGAAGGGCAACAGTCATCATGAAATATCATGATTTCTTATTTCATGTAAAAATGCTAGATAAATGTAATATTTTTATAGGATCACTTTCTCTGGGATGCTATAAACTCCTAAAGGGCAGGGATGCAACCATTTTTCTCTCCATTCCTTACAGCAACTACCACTGTGGTTTGAAATGAGAAAACTCAATATAAGTGTGTTGAAGGAGTGAAA